CACGCTCAATATATTCTTAAGAGTGGAATTCTAAAAAGTGGGTACTTTCATAGAACACAAAGAAAAATGTTCTTAAAATTGGTGCTTCGTTGGTAATATACAACCAGACAAAATATTTCCTGAAAGGATTAAATAGAATCTAAAAGAAAACACATCTTTTAGCACCATGTAGCAAATTTCATCCACCAGTTATCACCAAGCCAGTGTTTCTGAAGGAGGAAAATCCTAGGATTTTGATCATTTATATACAATTGTTTCTCCTCCTTTCCAGTTAACTTTTGATTCCTTTATCAAAAGAGATATCATGACGTTTTTAACATTTTTAGCCATAAAATCTTATTATAAGTAATTCTAAAATCCGCATTTCCTGAAGCATTACAGAGACCTATTGAATGTTCAAGAGACAGCTACTGATATTGAAATTAAGAGATAGGAGATCTTTCTGAGAAGACTAGGGGTTATATGTAGATTATGACACAAGAGCCCACCACAATATAATCTCTATACTCTACTCCCTATTAAATGAAAAGTAGAAAAATCTTTGAAACAGGAGGCATTGTTTCAAGTGTCATTTTCATCCCTCATTAATTGATTAACTTTTGATCAGTTAAATCTCCAGTTTTAGTTTTTTCATCTTCAAAAGGCAGATAATAAAGTTGGTCATTCTGAGGTTCTAGAACAGATATATATTGAAATTATTTGTAAACCGTAGTATGTTTTGTGATTATAAGAATAGATACTGTGTCTCTTAAAAATAGATATTCACATGAAAACATTTGGTGACTATTCTTTGGGAAATACAGGAGAGTAGAAAATTTAGGAGATCTTTATTGAGTGTATCAGACATTGAGAAATATAGAGACAGCAAGATAGAGAAATAGAGAGATAGATAAATGATATAGATGGATAGATAGATAGATAGACAGACAGATAGATAGATAGATAGATAGATAGATAGAGATAGATAGACAGAGACAGATAGATAGATATGATACTTTTGGTCCATCCCAAAGATTCAAATTAACTCCTTTGTGAGCTTGTAGAGAATTTGGCCCGTGGGCATCTATTTTAATACATTGATTTGTAGGGCAGAAAATAATTTGCCTTGGGCAGAAGTTAGTGCCTTTGCTCAGAGAGGGAGAAGTGTATCTATTGTAAATACCAGACCCCAGGCCCACTTATATATACTCATCATTGAGATTCACGGAGAGTGACACTGCAGGACATATCAAGAAATTATTTTCCTAGAGACTTACATGAGAGCAATACTGTAGTTATGGTCTCTCTTAGCAAATCAATTATACTTCTTTTTAAAAATATTTTATTGGTACCCTAATGTTTTCAAAATGAATTTTTAACTAATCTAAATCCACCTTCAAATAATGCAGTGTACATATCTTGTAACAGTGCATACTGAATTCATCTCTCTCATCAATTATATTACCGCCATTCATTTTACTTACCCATTTGCTAGCATCACCCATAACATCATTACTATTGTTTAAATAATTATTATTACTTAAATTCATTATCTTTTACATCAAAGATAAGTAGTTTTTAAAATTTTACCCTCATTTATTCTTTCTCCTATATTCCTCCTTTCTTTCATTATTGTTATAGAGTTTGATATTTCTACCATTTCATTTTTATTATTATGGCTTCATATTGCTGCTTTCATCATCCGTCTGTACTTGCATTTCTACTTTTTCATTAGGATCTTTAATATATTACTTACATTAAATTCTGTCTCTGGTAATTCCAACATCTGTGTCATCTGAATGTGGTTTTATGCTTGCTTTATCTCTACAGAGTATGTTTTTCCTTGAGTTTTGTCGTGCCTTATAATTTTTTGTTGAAACACAAAATAATGTATTAAGTAATAGAAACTGAGTAATAAGTTTTTAGTATGTGGTATTACGTTAATCTGGCTAGGAGTTGGGCTGTGTCTACCATTTCCTGGTTCTTTATATGCCATAGGCTTAAATTCCTATATTGTCAATTTTTTGTTTCTTCTGTTGACTTTGGCCCTCCATAAATACTCCTCCCCAGAGAGAGTCTGTGTCTTGCAGCTCTTTCATCTGTGACCTACTGTTGTTACACTGGAGCTCTGTTTGTGCACTGGCAAGGTGTTGGGGAGAAAAACTGTTCTATAATCTTATGATTAATGTCAGTCTTTCAGTGGGACTGTGTCCCTGGGATGTGATCCTAACAAATGTTTCTAAAGTTTTTGTTTCCCCTTCAGTTGAGACAGTAAGAAGTCAGAGCTTGGAGTGGGAAAAATGCCCTACCCCCAGGTAAGCTAAGACAACTAGAGAGCAGACTTTTGTTTCAGAGAATACTCTAACCATGTTTCACATTGGTTACTCTTCCTCTTTCTCTGCCACAGCCATGAGGGAAATCATTCTTCTCTCTTTAATATGAGACTAGAGTGGGATTCCTGGAGGTAAAACCCATGAAAGTGTAGGGGTATGCTTAGACTGCAGCTCACAAGGGTTTCTCACACATATTCGTCCAGATATTCATCAAAATTACGTTGTAAGTGTTCCTACCAGTTTATAGCTCCAGTTATTTCTGCTCCTCGTAAGTTGATCTTTGCTATGATTCTGGATTTGCCTGTCTCTTCAGATTTCAAAGTAGCAGTTTGTCCACAGTTCTATGATTGGGCCAAGAAAAGTAGTTGATTTTCAATTTGTTTTGTTTTTTTCAGATTATAATGATAGGATTGTTGACCTCTCTACATTTTACATAGTGGAGCTGAAACCAAAGTCCTAGAGTGGCATTTTAATATCATATTAAAAAAAAATAAAGACTTCTAGACAAAGAATATTGCCAAAAGTAGAGGGACATTTCACAATGGAAAAAAAAGAACTCGTTTATCAGGAAGACATGTCAATTGCTAAGTATATACACTAATACCCAAGATTCAAAATACATGAAACAAAAATTTGACGGAATTAACGAGACAATTGTACAATCATAGTAGAAGATTTTAATAACTTCTCTCAGTACCTGATAAAATAACCAGACAAAAAATTAGTAAAGATAGAGAATATGTGAACAGTACTATCAACCAACTTGATCTGATTGGTATTTAGGGAGCACTACATCCAGCAATGATGGAGTACTCACTTTTCCAGTGAGCATGATACAATCGCTGAGGAAGAGCACATGCTGGGCTATGAAAAATATCTCAATACATATAAAATTGTCTTTTTCGAGCCAAATGTAATACATATAAAATTATCTATATCACACCAAAATGTAATTAAATCAGAAATCAATAACAATATAACATCTTAGAAAACTCCAAATTACAGAAAACACTTCTAAATAATTCATGAGTTAAAGATGAAATCACAAGGAAAATTAAAAAATAGATCAATGATAACAAAAGACATGTAAAGTTTGTAGGATAATATTAATGCAGTGCTTGGAGAGGAAATTGTAGCTTTAAATATATTAGAAAAGAAAAAGTCTATTAACAAAGGATCTAAGGTTCTACCATATTAAGCTAGAAAAGTAAGAGCAAAGTAAACCCAAATAAGAAAATCACTAAAATAATGAAATTAAGAGCAGAAATTCAATGAAATATAAAATAAATACAGAACAGAAAAAGTCAGCAAAGCTAGAGGTTATATTTTGAGAGAGCCACAAAATTGAAAAACCTCTAACTTGGTTGATCAAGTAAAAAAGAGAGAAAACACAGATTATCAATTCCAAAGTGAAAAAAGTTATCACCAGCAATTCTAGATAAATTAAATTATTAAAGGATAATAAAATTATGACAACGTCATGCCAACAAATTTGTCACTTGCAATAGAATGAATAATTTTCATGAAATATATCTTATTCAAATTGATATATGAAAAAATTAAAAAGGAAATTCATTAAGGAAATTGATGTCACTTGTTTAACCACTTAGTACATGAAAAACGTGACCAACATCAGAGAAATTCAAATTAAAACCACACCCACTAGAATGACTAAAATTAAAAAGGCTGAAGATACCCAGGGCTGTCAAGGTTGTGGAACAGTTTGAATTCTCAAATATTGCTGACTGAATGAAAAAGTGTACAACTAATTTGGCAATCAGTTTGCCAGTTTCTTGTAAAGTAAATATACAGTTATCATGCAATCCAGTCAGGCTACTCTTATGTATTTACCCAAAAGAAATCAAAATATATGTCCATACAGATGATTGAGTGTTCACAACAGCACTAATTTTATTAGCCAATAACTGGAGATAATCCAAATGTTCATTAAGTAATTAATAGATAAAGTTTTGTATATCCGTCCAATAGAATCTACTCAACAACAAAAAGGAACAAAATATTGAAGGATGCAACCAACAGAGATGAATTTCAAATTCTATGCTAGGTCAGAGAAGTGAGATAAGAAAGAGTACATCCTATATAATTCCATCTATACATAAATTTAGACACTGTGAATCAAATTTAGTGACTGAAATTTGTTGCTTGGTGACAGAGTCAGAGGATAAGAGGGATTGCAAAAGAGCATGAAGAATTCTTTGCTGGTGACTGAATTGTTCTGTATCTTGATTGTAGAGCTGGATTCATGGATGTAGGTATATGTCAAAGCTCACCAACTTTTACATTTTGATTATTTTCAGTTCTTGTATGTCACTTATACTTTGATAAATTTGAAAAACTGCAATTCATTTTTGTGAAAAATTGCATTTTTCAAAATATTCGCTGTCATTCCCTTTAAGAGAAATACACCTTCCTGTCCTGTTGTCATCAGTTTTAGTCATACTTGGGCCATATTCTTTGGTCCGAGAAAAATGGGCAAAAGGAATATGTGTCACTGCTGAGCATGAGCTTTCGGAGCCATTACGTGGTTCTGCCACTCCTTTTATCCTGATCTACCATGAGCTCTGTCCAGCCAGGGCCCAATCCTGAATTATGAGCTCTAAATTAAAGAGAGCATAGAGTAGAGCCACAGAAAATCCATAAAGGACATATAATATAGCAAAAATAAAGCTTTAATATTGTACATCACGGATAATGGGCTATGGTTTTACTGCAGCATAACCTAGAAAAAAATTAAAAAATCACATTTTAGTATTTCAAGTTTTATTATAGTAGGAATGCACTCTATATATACTAGGACATACAAACTTAAAAATATGAGCTGCTTAAAAAAGTTAAAGAAGTTTTCCTTGTGGTAGGAAATATGATTTCATTGGAACATGTGAGATTCAGATTCTAATCCTCTTTTATACTTGAGTAAATATCTAACTGAAGTAAATCTATTAATCCTATCTGGATTTCAGCATGCCATTTACAGACCATGTTGATTAAGGGACATAATCACTAAAATTCCATGCACTTTAAATTTTAACAATATAGAGGTATTATAGACAAAATGAAATAACTAGAAGGATGATGCCAGCATAATGAACACAGCTCTCTTTTTATTGAAATCTAATTAATGCTTTACATGTTAAACTCTAACTTGGCTCTTTCTCTTAAAGCTCAAACAATTTTGGAAAGTATGAAACATAGTTCAAATAAAAAATTGTAAAACAAACAGTAAAAGAACATTTACTATCAAGTAATACATCCTAATATGTTTACTATCAATGAGAAGCATAAGATTGGGTTATATTTTAATTTAGCATGCATGACTAATATGGTTATTGTTCACTATACTGTATTTTTCTCTTTGCTGCTGCTTTGGGTACCAACTTCGTAGAAGAGTAAATGTCATAGTTCATATAACATTAGGTGAATATTGTGTGTATATGTGCATGTTTGATCTGTAGTAGTATTTCATGCTATTATTTTCATTAAGAATTCTATATATTAAAAGAGTGTTTAAAGCTTTGAGAAAATGTTAATAATTCATAAGCATCAAAGATTTAAATGTCTAGTTATTTTTCTTTAAAGCATGTCCATGAAAGGTTACACATTTCTAATTATTTAAGACTCTGGATCATATTTCTATAAATGTACCTAATCCTAGTTTCTATCTTGATTTATTTCGTCTAATATCTCTAAATGCAGCATTTTCTTTATCAAATTTTCTCAGAGTTTCCTCCAGCTCAATGAAAACTCACAGTGACCAGAAATACGAAAAACTGTAGGAAAACATTTCTTGGAGTCTGTTTTCCTTTGGCCAGGTAACGACACATGTTTCTCTCATCAAGGTAGAATCAATCCTATAGGACAGGTACAGATAGTCGATTAATGGCAAGAAGAATTTATGACAAATTAAGGAAAAACAGTAAGCTCTTGAAACTTAAAAGCCATTTTACTCCAACCTCCTGTTGAAACATTGGCTTGCTTGTAAAACAGGAGACTAAACCAAACTGTAAAGAGCATCCTTTCTAGAAGGTAGGAAAAGCCCTTTTCATTTATAAAAGAAAAAAGTAAATATAATTAATTCCATTCCATGCATTAAAAGGCAATGAGAAACAAAACTAAGAATGAGGAGGGATAAACAAATTAAGATAAAGTAGAAACCAAATGAATTAGCAAACCAAACAACAATCAAATGAATCCTTAAGCGCAAAAATGTTCTTTACAATTATCAAAATAAATTTTATAAATTTCCAGCTAGGATAAATAGAAAAAAAGAGAGTAAGAAAATATATATACAAAATATTGTTTTTCTCTAAAAAACTTTCTAATTGAGGTATAATGTATACACAAATAAGTACAAAAACACAAGACTCTAGTCAACTTCATGACAACGTCTGATCATAGCTCTCTCTTCTGCAGAGAGAGGAATGCTATGCTGTCTTTCAACACAGCAGATTAAGTTTTCATCAATTATATCTAAATTCTACAATCAAAAAGAAAACAAATGGCATTCTTGTGTGTGTGTAGAAAATCAAAGGACCTATAGTTGGACAAATTTAACTAAAGTGAACAAAGTTACAAGATCATCAATATGAAGAAATCAAACCTATTCCTATATACCAGCCACAAATAAGATAGAAAATGAAAATTTAAAAATAATATAATTTCATAAAACACAAAGGTAGTAATAAATATAATAAAAATCTTCAAAATCTATAAGATTTTATTGAGAAAAATTAAAGAAATATTAAATAAACACAGACTATATTATATTCATAGGTTAAAATGACTCAATACGGTAAATATATCAATTATCTTCAAATTGATCTATAGACACAATGGAATCCACACTATTATATCAGAATTTTTAATTGGAACATGATTCTATAATTTGAATGGAAAATCAAAGCACCAAGAATATAAAGTTGAACAAAGAATCTAGCTACAAAATTATATACATATATATGCATGTATATATATATAGTATGATTTCCTTTAAATTAAATTGAAACACAACAAAGCAAATCTATTGTGACAGAAGTTAGCATAGTAGTTATCCTTTGGAGTGGGAACATTGTGACGGCAAGGAGGTGAAAACGGGCTTCTGGGGTGCTGGTAATGTTCTGTTTCTCGATGTGTGTATGCTGGTATGCTGGTCACATGTGTAATTATTGTTAAAATTATATGTTCACTTTTCTAAATGTACACGTTTAAATAAAATTTATAAAATCCAACAATTCTAATCTCTACTAAAATTATGTAGGGTGAAATATTATAGGGCAGAATTGTTAGTGTGTTATCCTTTGCTCATTTGTATATGTAAGTATAAGTATATATATGTAACATATATATTTGCAAATGCATAAAATATATCTCCTTAGTATAACAATGTGATTAAAAGCATGTAAGACATTAATGTTTTTGAAACAGCTTTATTGAAATGTAATTCACATACCATAAAATTCGCCCTTTTGACGTGTACAATTGCAACCATCACCATAATCAAATTTAGAATGCTTTGTCACCTTAAAAAGAAACATCATCCCTTTAGCTATCAGTCCTTTTATTGTTTCTTTCCTTTTGCTTGCATTAGGTTTAGTTTGTTCGTCTTTTTACATTTTCATAATTTGGAGACTTAGGTTATTGATTTCAGATTTTTCTTCTTTTTTTGATGTAGGCGTTTACCAATATAAATGGCCCTCTAAGCACTGCTGTAGCTGCATTCCACACATTTTGGCTTCTGAATTAACTCCTTTGTAGTCAGAAAACGTGTTTTGTATTGTTTCTGTCCTTTTAAATTCATTGAGGTTTATTTTACGGTCTGGGCCATGGTCTTTCCTGGAGAATGTTCCATATGCATTTGAGAAGTATGTGTATTCTGCTGCTGGTGGGCGTAGTGTTCTATTTATATTTGTTAGGTCTGCTTGGTTTATAAAGCTATTCAAGTCCTCTATTTCTTGTTGGTCATTTTCCTAGTTATATATCCATTATTGTGGGGGGGGGGTATTTAAGTCTCTATTATTGTTATCTATTTTCCATTCATTTCTTCCAGTTTTTGCTTTATGTATTTTAAAAGGCTGTCACTTATTAGGTGCACATATCTTGTTAATTGTTATCTATGTGATGAATTTCCTTTTTTATCTCCATACATGCCCTTCCTTATCTCTAGTAACATTTCTTTGTATTGAATTCTCTTTTGTCTGACAATATAACTACTCCAGCTTTTTTGTGGTTGCTTTTTGCATGATACATCTTTGTTTCCATTCTTTTACTTTCAATCTATTTGTATCTTTGAATATAAAGTGTATCTTCTGTAGATGACATATAGTTGGATCTTGTTTCTTTATTCAGTCTGATAATCTCTGCTTCTTGATTGAATTATTTAATCCATTGTATTTATTGTTAGCCACATTAAATTTATGAGCCTGAGAAATTGGTGAAATTTCATGGCATCTACTATGTGGGACATGTTACGACAGCCTCTAGAAAGTGAAAAGAACAAATTGGTGAGTATTGCCCCACCAAATACTTTGAAAGAGATATATCACTTGGTGTGCCCGTTTAAGGGAATATATACCACATTTTACTTTGATAGTCACTTCACGGGTCAACAATTTTTTTCTTAGCCAGATAGAAGATAGTTTAAACTTGCTGGCATGTAGTCTCTGTCAGTACTACTCAACTCTGTCATTGCAGTGTGTAAGCAGCCCCATAAACAATGCATAAACAAATTGACATGGCTGTATTCCAGTAAAACTTTATTAACAAGAACAGATGGCCAACTGATGGGTGATGGTTTGCTGAATCTTGTTTTAACTCCTTTACTATGTAATCTTTAAAGCTTTCCAGAGTAAAAAAAAAAAAAAAATGAATTTGATGCTGGTTCAAAGTTTCTTTTTGACTTTAACAAGCAATAGATCGAACGTGCATGAAGCGTCTCTGCATATAGGGATGCTGTATGGAGCCTCAGATACTCCTCAATAAGAGAAATCAAAGCATAAGAACCGAGACATTTTTGAGTGAAATCAAACTATCTTTTATTATTTTGCTTAATCACTCTTTACTAAAACGTGGTACACCAAGTAACGACGTAAACTGAACTTCTTCTCTTGAGCCAGGGATTATAATGACCCACCAAGTTATTAAATTGGTTATGTGCACCATAATCAGTACTCCAGATTAAGATTAAGTGGGAATTATATATATATATAAATGTATTATATTTATTTTTAATATATTACATATTGTTTAATATAATCCCAAACATCTACTCCTGAATTGTACCCTATTTGTCTAGTCACATACACGGGTTTATGGAGAATCCCCTACACAGGTAAAGTATTAAAAATCTTGGTCTTGCTTTTCCTATGGTTCCATGTAGTATGCTGGAATCTTGTAGACTCACGTAAGATTTCTCCTGAATGGCAGTACAGAAGGAAAATTCTCCCAGTGGGAAAGAGTTGAAACAAAATATCTGATTGCCCAGTTTTCTGGATGGGAAAATGGCCTGTGGTGTGAATGTCCACTGATTCATAGACAAGGGCTGAACATTAACACAGTAATCAGTATGACAATGGCTCTCCTAGTATATTCAATTTTAGAACAAAATGTAGGAAACAACTTTACATAAAATGTAAGGAAAAACTATTTTTAAACAATAGAAAACATACAGAAAGCTGTGATTTTTGAGAAAAGGAAAATATGTGACATGAACAGTATATTCACTTCCTCTCTATGCTTAGGGCACTTTATGCATCACTGCACAGAGAGGTAGAGCTCAAAGAAAGAGCAGTGGATATACTGAGCAAAGGGAACAGATCAGACTAGATGACAACTGAGACAGCTAAAATTTGCAGGGCAGGGCATTGAAGAGAGCAGCATGAAGCAGGAGTTCCGGAAATCTGCAAGGGATTACTTTGACTCTTTGGGCAAGTAATAAACTCTAAATCATCAGGACAAGACTCCACAGCGTCTGACAGAGAACACACACTGGAGACTGCGAGCTGAAGACAGACGCTAGTGGTGGAAGGGTTCTGAGATAAGATGGAGTTCTACCAGCCAGAAAAATCTTGCTTAACTCTCCAGACGTTAAACCTTTCTTAGCTTTAAGGTCCCTCGGGTGTATAGCTATCCTACCCTTACAGAAAGGGCTGTCTAGACACATCCTAACAAATATGGAAATTAAGCCTCAACAGGATCAAGATGAACCACCTGTAAATAAACTGCCCATCAAAGCAAACCCAATATTTTTTTTCTTCTTCTTTATTTCCCAAACCCCCGGTACATAGTTGTATATCTTAGTTGCAGGTCCTTCTAGTTGTTGGATGTGGGATGTGGGACGCCGCCTCAACATGGCCTGACGAGCAGTGCCATGTCCGCACCCAGCATCTGAACCCTGGGCCACCGCAGCGGAGCGCGTGAACTTAACTACTCGGCCACGGAGCCAGCCCCTCCAATATTTTTTAAAGGTAACACAAATTACACTTTGAACAATGGAGCATCCACATGTCCTATAATAGTTAACATTATTAACTAGAAACAGATACAGTGACTAAACTTTGTGTTTCTCCTTTTGGGGAAGATGTTGAGAATACTTTCATTTTATTAATCAGCTATAGTGAAGTACGGTTTACATACAATAAAATTTACCAATTTTACGAGTACAATTTGATCAGCTTTCACAAATGCATACAGCTGTGCAACCACCATAATCAATACATGAAATATTTTTATGACTGTAAAAGTCCACGTGGTGGGGCTGGCCCCTTGGCGGAGGGTTGGGTTCACGTGCTCCTCTTGGGCAGTCTGGGGTTCACAGGTTCAGATCCTGGCCATGAAGCTAGCATTGCTCGTCAGG